AAAACGGATTTAGCAAGACAAGCGTGGGAGCTGAGCAAGTAAAATCTCAGTCATTCTAGCAATTACCCTACTTACTTTGCACTTCCCATGATCAGCTGGCTGGTCTGTTCCCTAGAACAACCGGGGATTGTGGGGTTTCTTGCTGGTAGTTGCAGTTTTTCCTCTGCAGCTCAAGCAAATTCATTCTCTTCTGTACATATCCCCCTGCTCTGTAGCCAGGCACACGTGCCAGGCAGTCTGCTGGGGGCTTCCCTGGAACTTTCCTCCCAGGCTTTTATTTTTTTCTGGGAGAGTTCTAGTTAGCTTGATCTTTCACCTGACCCAGCAGAGCTTAGCTAAATTCATCCAGCCCCTAGTTAGGCAAAACACAGCAGCCTCAGCAAGGAGTCATCTCTTGAGTATTCTCATTTCATGCTTTAACAGACATAACACCTGTGCCACTTCTCCATTCCATACACAAGATACTTGTGCACACCTCTAAATAGCAGAGAGCTCCCAGCCAAGGCTCACCACACTGATTAGACAGCAGGTCCACCGAATACAAATAAAGGACACAGTCAACTTGTGCAAACTCAAGACAGTAAGTACAGGACGTCAATACAATTCCATACACATCCTTAGGTATATTTTATCTGGATATGAGATTCAAAACACAAGTGTTGTAAATTGAAGTCTCCTTCCTTTATCTGCTCTAAGTGTATCTCAGCTGAGGCTATGAGAAAAAGTATATTAAAATAGAAAAATAAGACACTGGTTTCTTCTATATCAGAAATAGTGAATAATGTTTGAAAGATTATTTCATAACTGCAGCTCCACTCAGTGCTATTCAGTTGTGCACTATTCAGTGCCTCTATCAGAGAATTACAGACTATAAAAATCACTATATTTTAAAGTAATTTCTGAGAGCCAAGATGGAAAGGGCATTTTTCAGTTTGGAAGATTTAGTATTTTTTGGTATTTTATAATCACTGTATTAGCTTTTAGAGAACAAAAATCAAATCTTTTATATATGTGCATATATATACGTATATAAAAAGTCCATCATCTGTAAAAACAAAGATTCTCAACAGATCTTTACTTTTTCTATACTTTTTTCCTCCACTAGCATCAAGCAGGATTTTAACTTTATGGCTAATATAACAACTTTGATAGATGTATTTAAATAGATTTCAAGTCAGGCAGACTCAAAAAACCAAAGGAATCATCGTGGTAATTTCACACAGCTTCCAGTGTGATACCAGCCACAGTATATTCTAAAACATTTCCTGCATTGAACCCATTCAAGTGATGAGAAATGCATAGCTGATAAACCTAGATATTGCTATTCAGCAGACTAAGGAGATAATTTCATTCATCCAGATATTTTAATCCTTATCAGTGGAGCTTTGGTTGTAGTAATTCACAAAAGATAATGACTGCAACTCAACTTTCGCTTTCCAGTAATTAAAATTTAGTCCTCTATATTACAAGTTCTCTTCTGTCCTGCTGATGTGAGAGTGGTTAACTGCTATTGTAGTTATTTAACTGCAATAACTTATTATTAAACAATCAGGGTGATCTACTTTGTTTGGATATATCAGCTTTCTTTGCTAGCTACTTGCCACCATAATACTGTTTCCAACATGCAACTTTCAGGAAGGCCGCAAAAGGAATAAAAGCTTGCATCTCATATTTTACTGCTAGAAATCCTCAATCCAGATCTTATCTCTCTGCTTCTGACAGGAGGGATGGAATCTGGACAGGGCCAGTTAATGTAAAAACTGAAGACCAGAGAATTTACATCGAGGTAATGCGATCTCCATATCTTCATACACTATGTTTTACTAATTGCTAACTTCCCAGGCCCAGCCATAGGCATACAAGCACTTGAATTTCAAGCCTCTACACTCAGAACAGCATTTACTGAAAAGCTGTCTCAAGGTTGTTCCTTGAAATCTACCCAGAACTCCAGCAGAAACAACTAGCAACAGCTCACTCATTTAAGAGACTTTTAAAAGAAAAGCAAAAATATAAGCCAGAATGCTACACTAGTCTAAAATAACCCACAAGTGCCTTCAAAATACTTGACAGGACTCATCTATTGGAAAGCAACATAGTGGAGTTATGGAGTTCAAACTTTCTGATTTTCACAAGTGTGTGGAGAAGAAGGGGGAATGCTTGTTCATTGCATCAGACACTCTTTGAACAGGTACAAAGGCCACAGAAATGTGAATCTTTGTAGCTGTATACTTAAAGCTATATTTAGACAATGATCTAAGTGTTCAATATAATTTTTCTTAGTGGTAGCAGTGTTTCATAACAACACTTCAACTATCCTACTGAAGCCATTAATGCATTTTCTTTGACACTTGTTAGCAAAAGATTTTCTTTGTACCCTTTAACATGATCCTATTCATTTTTATTGCTGTGAGACAAAGAAAAATCAAGAGTTTCTTATATATCTAAGATGGCTGATTCACAACAACTCATCACAGCCATTTTCCTTAAGCTGTGACATAAGGATCACTCCTGCATAATAGACACGAGCTGGTGCTGTAAGGAGACTACCAGTTCCCTGTAGGAGTCAGAGAAGCAGCTGAACCAGTCTGTCAAGATAAAAGCTATGATAATTAGCAAGGACATTGCCATTTGAATCTGAACAGGATTCCTGGGGCTGGAAGTGTGTTTAAGAGTCAGAAGCCTCATTAATCATTGCTATGTTTTCTTGTGTGAAGTTACCCAGGTCCTGACTGTCAGGAAACAGTTCTCTCCTCTGGGAAGTGAAGCCAAGGTGCTCTCTTGTAAGGCCCAGCTGCATTCCAGTTAAAGGCCAGAAACACAGGAAGTCCTCAGATAATGTAAAATTCAAGGAAGGGTGCAGTTACAGCACGTGGTACAATCACCCATTTTCTGCTTGAACAGTTTCTAGCTGGGACTGCACATGCATATTTTTCACTGAAAGCTAAGATATTTAACATGCAATTTTTGTTCAGCATGTAAGGAAAGAAATTTGTTTACTTCTATTACAGCAAAACCATCTTAATATGGAGGCAACAAGCTTAATATTCAAATATGAGAAGTGCTTAATTTTCTTTCCTTGAAAGATGACCATTTTGCTGGTTTGACACGCCTGTCATAATTTAAAAAATATATGAAATAAACTTTACAGTATCCAGGTCCTTACACTGTCATTACCATATCATCTGGGGTACCATTAGGGGAGGGATTTCATAAGCATGCCTGTCTTTCACAAGACAGTTTCCAGACACAGAGAACTCTCTTGTGAATCATACAACAGATGACTCTTACCACAGTAATTTATTTCTTAAAAATCTAGTTTATTGCACTTGTCTCAAAGCACAAACAAAACCAAAAACCTAAATACAGAAATAAAAGTTAAAAAATCCATCCTAATTTTATTTAAGCTATCCTAAAAAGTAGTCTGATAAGAGCTCTTGACATCAATTTAATATTAATGACCATAGCAAGGAACAGTATTATACAGTAAATAAACAACTAGCAAGCTCAAACCATTACTAAGATGACTTTGAAAAATGTAATACAAAAGTGTCACTATTAAATAATGCCATTGTATTTGAGCATCCGGTGCTTGGCAGGGCACAGAGAAGTACTCGTGTCCTTTCTCCAAAGTGATTGACTCAGGAGCTGCCACAAGATACTTTTAAGCTGAATTTCAGCTTCTTTAGGGTCCTCAAGACACCAAGCTATGCTGGCATAAAACATACTGGGTTACTTCACAAGCTGATTCCATTACCATCCACTGCCAGACAGGCTAAAAAAACCCTCTGGGGTAATCTCTGTATACAGATGAACAAGAAAGAAGCGAACATATCATCTGTAAAAGGGAAACAAATCTGTCCTCCCTGTAAGACTGAGATCAGGCTGAGAACTCACAGCCAATATCACAAGTGCTACTAAAAAAAAGGTGACATAACTTGGTTCTCTCTCCACTGATTCACATTCTCACCTTGCACCATGTTTGTTCCAAGTTTAGTGCAGCACACGCATGAACTGTTCTGAAAGAGAACAGAGGTTCAAAAGAAAACACATCCTTTTCCGTGTGTATTAAGTTCTCAAAACAGAAACATCCCCACTTGTCAACTCTTGGCCTTTTCTGAAGCTGGCTCTTTTACAGTATTGGTTAACAGCTGCTTAAAACATTCTGATGATTTATAAGCTTAGAACAAACACAAAATAACTCCTCTGCCTACATAGTGAACTCAGGTTCTCTCGTCTATAGTTCTATTGCTTAAAAAAGATGAGGTATCTTTCAAAGAAGATTTAGTATAAAGAAAAATAAACTGCAATTATTAACTTAAGTTACTTCCCAGTTCATCACATACTCCTGCTGCAACCTCTGTTAAATATAAGACACTTCAAAATTTAGCTAACATAGCTAAAAATCAGAATATTGTTAAGTATTTTCTCACAATATCACAATTTTTAATGGGATATATAGGTAATTCTATCTATTACCACTTTTTCTCTTAATACATCTAAGTTTGGTACTCAAAACAATATGAGTCCAAATGTTAAAGCACTGGCTGGAGGCACAAATACAGCACAACAGGAATTATGAAAGCTGCCTTTACATTCCTGCTTTGTACTACAAACCCAACAAGCGACCTCTTCTTATTCCAAACTGGGACTTACCCCCAAAAATCTGTCAGCTTCCTGATGGCTACGGAAATGGGTGAAAGTCCCCCTGATATCAGGTGTAATCCAAACTTCTCCCTTGTGAATAAAGCCAAATTATGAACGAAATTTCAAGAAATGGAAGGTTAGTATAGCCTTGCAAATATTTATGTGGAAATGGATCAAACTAACTTAATTTCAACACCAATACTGTGTAATCATGATGTTCTCAAATCTTACTAAGAAATACTTCACCATATTTTCTTCCATGCTGCAAGGAAAAATAATTCTAAATGTATGTACAACAGTCAGAGAGCAATCCCATCAGTTTGGAGTTCCAAGTACAAGAAGAAATTGAGAAATGCTTAGTGTTTCTGCTGTAGAGAAATATTTAATGCAACAGAATTCCTTCTCAAAATCAGTACATTAGTGTGCATGCTGTTGTGAAGCAGTCACTTCCACTGCTAGTAAGATTAACTTAAGGGTTATATTTCCAAAGGAGCTTCTACAGTAATACAGTATAACAATTGCAGTATGCCACATCTAAAGAGTCTCCCAAAAGATAATGTAACAAACATCAGAACTCACAGCTTGGGGGCTATTTAACAGGTCAGTTTTTCAATACAAAAGTGCTAATATCACAGGTCCAATATGAGTGGCTTTTAGATCCAATATTCTGTACATACATCACAGAAATTCTGTCCTGTTTTTTTCACTGCTTCGCAAGCTTGAGAGACTTCATATCACTTCCCATTCATCTTCAAAATCATCAGGGTGAAGCAGAACAGAAGTGTCATTATTTTTCTGCAAACTATGGGAATGGCTAAAGGTCTTAGTGAGGCGCTGGAGCAGGGATCCTGAAGTACTGATTGCCCACAGTTCATCTAGAGGGGTCACTGCAAAGCAGAAATTATCCATCTTTTAATTAAGGCAGCAGGTTCCAATTATAAACATTAAATAAATATTTGTATCTGTTTTCCTAATTATACCCAGAGAAGGTTTTTACTAATGTGATAAAAGCTCCCTCGGTGAAACTCTCACAGAGCATGCAGCTCTCCCTGCATATGGTCCAGCCTGAGCACCATCAGGGAGAAGTCAAAGCAGACATCAGAATGTTTTGGACAGACTCTCATGCAGAACCAACTTGCCTGTTAAGCGTGAGACATTTCCAGGAATCTTCTTCCAGTAGTCTCCTGCAGGATTCTTGTCAGTAATGCCGTACCGACGAGCTACATCTCCGTTGGGACACCGTGCCCAAACGGTCCTTGTACTTATGGCCAGCTGGCAAGCCTGCAAACCTACAGAGATTTGGACACAAAGAGGAAAAAAACTCACAGCCTTTCCTGGGTACTAAATATACTTGCAGAAAAATTCACTAAGAGCAGGCGTCAAGACCGTAATAGTTTTATATACTCTTATATGAAGCACTGGTGACCAAAAAAGCTTTTTAATTGCAGAGTTTGTATTCTGCATCTATTGGCCACACTGTGGATACATTTTATTATGTGACCACAGCCACAGGCAGCATCCAGTTAGAGGACCTTCGTAACACACTTTTGGAGCCTCCACTGTATGTTACTATCACATGGGGAATAATCCAACGGTTACAATTTTGTCTAAAAATGGTGACTATTACAGATATTGTGGACTTTTTCTTCGCCTCTTCACAAGTACTCTGCGACTAAGTGCCATGTGTTTATGCAGTGACAAATCTTTAAAAAGCAGACAGCGTCAACACACAGTTATTTAGAAAGAAACACCTAAAATTTAGTTTTGTTTACAGGCAAGGCAAAAGTGTAACTACCTAATCCACAACACATCCAGCATTCAGGATTAGTAGAGAGAGGTGCAAAATAGCATTAGGTTTTTGTTACCCACATCTACATAGTAACCCTGTGTGATACCACATTTAAATACAAAACTTTCCATGGCAAAATAGTTTCCTACTGCTTAGGAATTCTGCTTTAGTTCTATTTGAAAGGGAATTGTACCACTTAGTAATTCAGTGGCAGCAGCCTAAAAGCCATTGACCTTCTCCCAGTTAACTACTTAGCGTTTTTAAGTAAAACCAAGGTCCTCTTTAAAAGATAACCCTTATCAAACACTTGACTGCCAGAAAAAATATTTTATTTAAGCATTACTATTCAATTTAAAAAGCAACAAGAAAAAAAATCTAAACAAAACAAAAACTGAGAAAATGGCAGAAACAACAAGGAACTGATGCATTAGTTTTTACCTGGTACATGTTCCCAGTCAGTGCCTACAGGCATTTCATCTGTAATTCCAACTCGCACATGGACATTCCATTTGCTATCAATTGCCCACAACATCTGATCATTTGGACTTGAATGAATGCTGACCAAGTTGATTCCTACTGGCTATAAAAATTAAGCACAGTATTTAAACTTTGAACTACTGCATCTTTGTACTATTGTATCACTTGTTCTTCACAAAAGTACACATCTACAGTAAAATATTGACCAGATACTAAAGACAGGGAGCAATCTAACTGATATTGTATATGTTACTGTACAAGATTATAAATTTTCCAAGAAGTCAATCCTTTTCTAAATAGAAAGGAATATGAATGAATGCCACTCAATTACTGATAATGATATTAATATTTAATGTTCAGTATTCAAGTCTAATAATGTTAATATTTGCTTACCCACTGCTGTTCCAATCAAATATGTTTCAATTGAAAGGTGGAGGGAACTCTTCCAACGAAATGCACAAAGTACAGTGTTTTCCTCCTACCTTCCTGAAGGTTTCCTAACAAAACTAACTTTGCACTTTATTTCTAAGCATATACAAGCAGTACAATTTGTTACAGTCTAAATGGTTCCTCTTTGTAATGAAATGGTGATCTGTCTTCTTCCCTGTACTCCATTCTATAGGAATACAACCGTGGAACTCGCTGCAGACCACTGCAGCACTGGAGCAGCCACACCTGCAGGAGAGGATCCACAACACTACCTGTTGGCAAATACAGGTGAAACACACTTCCCATTCTGCTCCAAGGCACGTCCTTACTCCATCTGCTTCTATGGAGATTTGCCTCAACTACTGTTCAAAATCAGTGTCACTGACATCAAAACAATGGTGATTTTGTAGCAAAATATATCAGCCAACAGGCTTGGATGTTTGCAAATATCCTGCAAAACATGTTCTTCAAATAAAACACGGACAAAAACAAACAAAAAACTTTTTCTCCACACCAGCCTAATAAAGGCACTGCAGAAGACAGTACGATGCCCTGGAAAACATCTCCTCACAAAACAACACTGAATTCCCTGCTTTAGCCTCACAGGCAAAAGCTGAATTTCCACTGTGATAAGCAGAAGAGCAAACAGCAATTTGCATGTACAATCCTAGGAATATAGAAGCATAATCTGCATGTGTGTATATATATATATATATATATATATATAAAGGACACAACCCAATCCCAGATGGGCCTTCTGTGTACATACAGTTACCTGCTTTGGTTTTGCTTCTAAAAATCTGGTGCTGACATGTGTCTGACCTAGCTAAAACCAAGTTTGACTTGCATCACCAAATCAATCCTGTCTATTCAGGTTTTAAGGCCTTCAACAGACTATCTTCTCATGTTTTTGCTCTCATTAGGTATTTGCCCTCCATTGGAAGCTTCAGGCTGTAGAGGCTTGATCAATTGTTTACGTCTGCTCACGGTAAATTTACAGTGGCTGCAGTTTGAATACTTACAAGTAAAGCCACTAATTTTCTTGAAAAGCACTGACTACATAGAATACATAGCTGCCTAGCTACTTTCAAACTGGTATTAAACTAAAAACCCCAAAACAACAAACCACACTAAAAACCTCCAAACATATTCAAACCCAAACCACAGTAAAACCAAAACCCCCCTAAACACCACACAATTTCCCCTCTGGGCTTTCTGCCCCTTCACTGGAAGTGCTCCCTAGTCCTGGGCCTGTTTCAGTTTCTCCCCTCCATTTCTTCTCTGCTTCTTTCTACAGCTACTTTGGCTCTCACTCTCTATTTCTCCCTGCTCACTTCCCCACACCACTGCCATGGAGTGGTGCCTCACTTCTATGCTGCTTTCAGCTGCATCACATGCCTCTCCATATTTCTGCTTTTGCAGTCCCATGTTTTCTAGTAAGGAAGTTGTGCAGTTATTACCTTATGCAGGCTGAAGCACTGCACTACCAGGAGACCTTTGCCTTTTATATTTTTTTTCAAATTTTATTTTATATTTTCAAATCCACTTATCTCCTTCTCCTTACCATGTTCTTCTAACAATCACCTCCTTCCTCAGATTTGGGATTTTCTGCCCCATTTCCTCCATACCATGAATTGCCTATGCCCTGCAATACACTTCATGTTCCAACCAGGGGCCTTCACAAATTGTACCCAACAGCTTGGTGTGACTTTTGTTGCTGAACTGTTGGGATTTGTGCACTTTGCCCTCCACTGTCCTATGTCAGGATCCCACTGTTCCTGCACATTGCCTTTTGCAATCGGATTTGTCTGTCACGTATTGGCCTCATAAGCCACCAGCGTGCCTGTAGCAAATGTGGATAGAGCCTTCCCAGATCTTCGTTCGCGAAGCCTAGCCATGACTGTTCTCTTCCTCTGTCATTTGTCTAGAAAAGAATTCTCTGAGAAAGAACTGGAGGAGCATTTCCATCCAAAATGACTTACTGAGTGCTTATACCTAGTACCTAAGTCTGTGTATTACTACAGGTTTACAGGCTGTGGAGGCTAAGAAAAGCAGACAAAACGCCCCAAAGGAGTGCCATGAAAGGAGCTGCATGAATCTCAACTAGGTTGCTTCTGATACCACTGCAGGCTCAAGTATACTTAGAGAAATTACTTCTCCCCTATTCTGTAGCACCAACACATCTAAGAAACAAATGGCAATCATGAAATTCAACATAATGTGTCTACAAGCTTGGCCAAAAATTCTTCTCATTCTTTGCTTCCCTAAGTGAGCTCTCTGGGTATTTCACCTCCAGCTTCTCTTCCTTCTTCAGGCTACTTAGCTCTTCCTGATAAACTTGCACCAATAAAACAATCCTGTTACTCTCACTGTGAGAGATCCAGCCAATTCACCTCCACCCCCCGCAGCTTTCTGCTGTGAAACAGCCAATGAAGGGCAGAACTGACAGGACAGATACTGCCATCATTATTATGTACACCAGCTTTTGGCACAAACCAGGGACAAGACATTGGAAAGAAGTACAGGCAATTCTTAGAGCCTGTTGCAGAGATTTGACCTCTGTTGTTTTGGTTTTTCTTACCCAGAAAGCCACCATCTACACCAAAAAGGTGTTCTCATGGCTAACACAGTAAGGCGGATAAAATTAATTTAACATTTTCTTGACATAACGTACCATTTTTTGGAACAATCATGCTGACATTATCTCAGATATCCCCTAGTTTCACTAAGTTTGAATTACCATAAGCATGCTTTAAGTGTTTTATAATCTATATAACAAGAAAGTCTATACAGCTGCACTTAAAGGTTAAACGCAGTTCTCTCATAGCAGTAAAGAGAGAGATCTGTGCAAATTCATAAATCTGCTGATAACATTCCTGAGGCTGATAACCATGAAGATTAATAAATTATCTTAGCATAGCCTTTTCTCAGCTGGTTTAACTTCCAACAGGATCCATGAGATTGATATACCTTGACTGTAAAACATGTCCTATTGTAATTTACTGAAGAATCTGGAATTTTAAAGAGCCTCACACCAGTCTCTCAGCTATCCTCCTCTAATGCTGACACACAAAAATCTGCTTTTATCCACATTTATCCACAATACTCAATGCTGAGAGAGATCATCATGTTATGGATCATTAATGGATCCAGTGTTATGTGATAAAAAATGGTGGAACATTGCTTTCCTTTTACTTCGGGTACCCAAAATTTCCAAACTCTAAAAATCTCAAGAGTCTGACTGTTTTAGCCAAGAGGAAAAGGCAGATCCACCTGCCCTCTGGTCTTGTGCACTGGCTACAAACACCCCAGTCACTCTCTGTCTTTCGATATGAAGGATTTCCCATCACAACCATGGACTGCAACACATATATTGCCAACTATGTACTTTTCAGCACTAAAACTACATACTAAGAGCTGTGAATATCTTTGTTGTCTGCTACAAATAAAAGCAACAAAAAAGAACTTGCTAGTACCCACACATCTCATAAGAAAACAATGTTGATAAAATGAAGTAAACTAGAAGAAATCACTTAACTGGCAAATTCTTAAATGATATCAAGAAACAGTGTCTACGCTAAACATATTTATCAAGTTGTCCATTAGCTTTATAATTCTGTGCAAATAATTTCCTTTGTTTCTGCAAACCACAGAGAGACAAGCCTCGGTGTAAGGATTTCATTTGAAAAATAGTATCACACAAAATCCAAACTAAAAACTAATACACTCCCCCTCCCACGTCCCCTGACATCCTACCCAGAAGTTTTGTCTTACTGATCACAGCTGAACCCAAATCCCAATGGTTCAACTTCCTTGTCAAGGAAGAAAAGACAAACATACACACAAAAAGGCACCAGAACATTTTCCACGTCACTTTTCAGGAGCAGAGAGTCCATGTACCAGACAACCTCCACTATCTCTGTTCTGCTGCAAATATCCAGGATAAGGAAGACTAAACAAAACATTATCGGTCTGTCCAAGCCCAATCCTTTTTAGAATGAGTTGGTGGCTACATGCAACACAAATGTTCTCCTTGCCTTCACCTGGTCCAGCCCAGGCCATAAGAAGGTCACATCAGAGACACTTCTCACACTGTTGAGCCTTATGTGTGTATCACACTAATCTGACTATTTTCATGACTACTAACAGCATCAAGACCCTATTAACATGAATAACAAACAAAGAATGTAACTTAGAGAGGCCCTCCCCTAACATATGCCTATTTCTGTATTATTATCTGAGGTCTATTTGAATGAAGGTTGTAAAGCACTTTCAGCATTAGCTTGCTAAATTAAGTGCTGCTTTTTTCTCTGCAGAGAAGTTCAAGGCAATATACAGGAGCAAGAAAGATCAATCTATGTTTGGTCTTCCCTCAATGCCACATGTTCTTCAGTTATGCTGGCATTAAACTGTCAGAAAAACATTATTATTTATTGTCTGAAAAAATGGAGCATTATTTTCCTCAGAAGCATCAGAAAAAAACAACATCACCCTTTCCCCCACTTTCTGCCTTTAGTGAATAAAGGGACAAAGGCCTTAGTTGGGTATCTCCAATTAAGGAGATATCTATTGTGCTATCTATGGCTAGCTCAATCAGGAGGAAAAAGCAAAGCTGAAGAGTAAATTCCTTGACCTCTGCCCTCTGTTATCTCTAAATTTTTTATTTCTGCATTT